ATGATGGCCAAGTTTGTTCTTAGTTACAGTAGAGCTTGTTTCAATTCTTTCTTTCTTTTCTTTCTTTCTTTCTTTCTTTCTTTCTTTCTTTCTTTCTTTCTTTCTTTTTCTTTCTTTCTTTCCTTTCTTTTTCTTTATTTCTCCTTCCTTCCTTTGTCTTCTTTCTTTCTTTTTCTCTTTTTTCTTTTCTTCTTTCCATCCCTCCCTTCCTTTCTTCTTTCTCTCTCTTTCTTTCTCTTTCTTTTCTTTCTCTTTCTCTCCTTCCTTCCTTTCTTTCTTTCTTTTTCTTTGTTCTTCTTTCCATCTCTCCCTTGCTTTCTTCTTTCTTTCTCTCTTCCTTTTTTCTTTCTTGTAAATATGATATAAGCCATTTATAACCCTTGGGATTACTCACACATGTGCTGGAAGCCTAAGCTTTTCCAACTGTAAAACAGCAAAGCAACCCCAGTCATTTATTCATTCAGCCACAAATATTTATTAGCATGTGCTATGTTCCAGACACTTCTAGGAGCAGGAAATCCATCAGTGAACAAAAGAGCCCAAATCCCCTGCCTTCACCGTGTATATAATTCAGGAGAGTAGACGACTGATAAATAAGGTAAATAGAATGAGCAAAGCAGTGTGTTAAGTAGCAGGTGACAAGGAGAGAAAAGTCAGGGAGCGAGGCTATAAAGTGTTTAGTGGGGGAGGGAGTTTGAAATCTTGGGATTATCAGTGAAGGCTTTACCAAGAGGGTGACTTTGTTTTATAAAGAAACCAGAAAGTGAAGGAGCCAGCCACTTGGCTCTCTGAGGAAGAGTGTTTTGGACACAGTAAGCTCAAGGGCCCTGGGATGGGAGCCACCTGGCACGTTCGCAGGGCAGTGAGGTGAGAAAGGTAACGGGAACTATAGCAGGTAGGGCCTCAATGTCCCTTCTGAGGACTCACTTGTCGCTTCCAGTGAAAGTGGAAACTGTTGAGTGGCTGTGAGCAAAGAAGTCACATGCTTTGACTTACATTGCACCAATAACGAGCTCGTTCTCGCTGCTGCGTTGAGGACAGACAAGAGCAGAAGCAGAGAGACCAGTCAGGAGGATATTCTAATGATATAGACAAAATGATGGTGATTTGGCTCAAAGGAGGTAGGGGGCAGTGTTGCGAGAAGTGGCCACATGCTGTTTACATTTTGAAGGTGACAAGATTTCAAGTAGAAAGAAAGGAATTAAGAATGCTCAGCCCCGGGGCTGAGCACAGTGAATCACACCTGTAATCCTAGCACTTTGGGAAGCAAAGGCAGAAGGATCACTTGAGGCCAGGAGTTCGAGACCAGCCTGAGCAAGAGCAAGACCCCATCTCTACTAAAAATAGAAAAAGTAGCTGGATGTGGTGGTGTATACCTGTAGTCCCAGCTACTCAGGAGGCTGAGGCAGGAGGATCGCTTGAGCCCAGGACTTTGAGGTTGCTGTGAGCTATGATGACTTTAGCTGGAGAGACAGAGCAAAATCTTGTCACAAACAAACAAACAAAAACATAACTTAAAGCCATTGTGATTAGATGCAATTATTCTGGGAGGTAGTGAAGACAGAAAAAAGGCAGGGTTCTAAAATGTCAAAGTCAGGTTGACGAAAAGGGACCAGATAGGGACTGGGAAGGAGCATGTAGGAAGGTGAGGGAGGAAAACCAGGCAAGTCAAGTCTTCTCTGGAAGCCAAGAGAGACTGTGTTTCAGGATCGAGACTGTGGACAGTTGTGTCAAATGCTGCTGAAACATCAAGTACGATGGGGACAGGAAATCGGCCCTTGGCTTTAAGAACATGGTGGTCATCGGTGACTTTGAGCAAACTGTTATGTTTCAGGGTAGGGTGACTGGAGTGGGTTTAAGGGGCGATGGGAGGAGGGAAATTGCAGATGGCAAGTGCAGGTGAGATTTGCAAGGAGTCTGGCCATACAGGAAAGACACGGGGCCCTGGCGGGAACATCTCTCATAGAGGAAATGATCTGCCGTGACAAGGTGAGGCGGGGAGAGCCACTAGAGCGACACCTGTGAGCAGGGGTGGGGGATGGGATCTGGTGCCCACACAGAGGGGCCGGTCTTGGTCGAGCGTGAGACCTGTTTATCAGCAGGAATAAGGGAGCAGGCAGCCTGTGTAGACAGAAAGGCCAAGATGGCTTCCTGTCTTGCAGTGAAGTAGGAAGCAAGGTCCTCACCCGAGTGAGGAAGGGTGAAGGAGTGTTAGAGGCAGGGAGAGTAAAGAAAGTCTGGAAAAGTTAGTAGAAGAGACAACTACTAGGGAAATACGATTCCCAGGCAGCTTCAAGGATGGCCTGAATATCTAACAAAACCTGTCAGCCCAGGTGCCTGTTTTCTTCAGCTCGGCTCTAGCAGGAAAGTGGCTGTCACCAAGGCTGTGGGGTTCCCAGCGGCTGGGAGGGTCTGAGGAGCAAGGCAGTTAAGCTCTGAGGCCTTGTGCAGAGCTGACTCGGAGTAAGCCCAGACCATTTTACGTGTGAGCAACTGAGGCAGGCCTTACGACAAATCACTATATCCTAAGGCAGTTTCTGAACATCGCTGTATTGATAGAAAATGACTGTAGAAAATGATTGGAATTTGTATAAATACTTCACAGTTTCTCCCGGCACTGCCTACATAACGTCCGCAATAAAAATTACCTCACAGCTCTTGGCCATTTGAGGCTCTGAGAATAGGACAACATAAACTCATTTTATGGTCAAATAGCAGCTGATCTGCCTTCAATCCATCAGATAGCACCCCAGAAAAGTTTTGCGTTTGCTTTTTGTGAACCTGAATTTTCTTGTTCAAATGAAGTTAAAAGAATTCCAGGTGTTTTAGCTGCAGAGGGCTAACAGGAAGGCAGCTGCCTCAGTAGTGTGGTTTTAGGGGGCCTGGAGCACCCCCTCCACACACCAAAATGCCCAAACCTGTTCACTGGGCCCTGCAGTGCCCAGAGAGGTGCCCCTGATTTTAAGAAAGAAGTGACAATGGCCAGTGTCCACAGAAGCCAGCAGCAAACTTAAAGGGGGGAGTGTTTGTGTGCGGCGGGGTTGGTGGCACCAGCTTTTGTGACTGTTGGCACAGCCAGCACAGGACCAGGGGAACAGAACCTTATACTTTTTCAAATTAATTAAGCCAGAAATCATGACTTTTGTAAGGAAATACCCAATTTTAAAATGTTGGTGCCATTTAAAGAAAGGTACAAACACTTTTTATCAATCAATCAGAAATGTTTGACTTCGATTATAAAACACTAAAAGCCTTTAAGATGCAAATCCTTCTTGGGTAAGGTTACTGCTCAATCTGCCATCAACTTTTCCACAGTATTTTAAGAGGGCCGGGCGCGGTGGCTCACATCTGTAATCCTAGCACTCTTGGAGGCCGAGGCAGGCAGATCACTCAAGGTCCGGAGTTCGAAACCAGCCTGAGCAAGAGGGATACCCCATCTCTACTAAAAATAGAAAGAAATTAATTGGCTAACTAAAAATATATAGAAAAAACTAGCCGGGCATGGTGGCACGTGCCTGTAGTCCCAACTACTCGGGAGGCTGAGGCAGGAGGATCGCTTGAGCCCAAGAGTTTGAGGTTGCTGTGAGCTAGGCTGATGCCACGGCACTCTAGCCCAGGCAACACAGTGAGACTCTGTCTCTAAATAAATAAATAAATAAATAAAATCACTCAAAAGTTGTGTCTTCCATGTTTACCCTTATCTTATACATAATTCCTTTATTCACATAGATTCAAACTTTCAGTTACTTAAGATTATTACTCTTTGAAAATTTTCCTAGAATATACTGATTTACTCCATTTTTCCTACCTTCAGCTAGATGACTACCTCACTCAGTATCTCCCTTCTTCCTGCTGAGACGTTTGAACATGATATATCCTTAGCAGTAATAGTAAACCTACCTTAAAAGAGCAGCCCATAGCAAAGTAGGAGTTACATAGCCCCGAGTAAGGAATAATAATTGTATTAATATCAGTGATTAGGACAGTCATAGCTGCTACTATTTAATATCTACCAAATATTATTCTAGGCAATCTGTACCCATTATCCCTAATTTTCCCAATATCCTCATTAAATGGGAAACTGAGGTTCAGAAGGAAGAAGCAACTTGCTCAGAGTGTGAAGACGATGGTGACAGAGCCCAGCATTAAATCCGGGACTATCTGGGCACACCCTGAGGTTCCCCTTTACGGTCAGGCCTCAGTTCAACAGCTATTTATGAACAGTATCTCCCCTCCTGGCCCTGCTTTGAGTCTAGGGCCACAACGGTGACTGTCCCGTTCCTGCCCATGGAAACGCTGTACTCCGGCAGAGCACAGACAAATAAAAGTGCATTTTCGAAACAACGTGGTTGGCAGGAGAGCTGAACACAAACCTCTGTGCAAGTTCCGAGAGAGAGAGAGAGAGAGAGAGAGAGAGAGAGAGAGAGAGAGAGAGAGAGAGAGAGAGAGAGAGCGAGCAAGCCCGGCCTGGGACAGTTCGATGCAGGGGCTGATACTCCAAACTGAATCTCAAGGAATGAGTAAGGATTAAGTAAAGAAATAGGGGAACACTACTCTAGGTAAGAAACACAAACAGCATCAATGGGCACGTGAGAAAGCGTGAAGCTTTTAGCAAACTGAAAGGAGCTGAGTGCCTCTGTGTGCTCAAGTTCAAGCTGGGCAGTAGCAGAGCGGGGGCGCCTGCCCGTGTGCTGGACACGACAGCACTCAAGTGTGACCCCATCCGGCCCGGGTTACAAAGGGACATCCTGGCTGCCACGTGAAGGTGATGGGAGGGCACACGTTCAGAAGCTTATTAGGACTCTTCCTTGTTAACTACTTTGATCATAGCAAAATTTTCCCCAGGAGAGACCACCGTTTTGCTTCTGGGGGACAATTAACTTGCCATTATCACCACGTGCAAACTGTCATGCGCTAAAGGAGACCTCAGTAGCCCAGGCTGCCCTCCAAGCTGGCCAGCACCGGGCACCTCTTCTTAAGAAATAAAGATGGACTCGTTGTCAGCAGAAATCACAAATTTATTAACTCTTAAATATATCAATCAGTCATTTACCATTATGGCAAGAAATATATACAGTGTCCCATGGTAAACTGCAGTGTTTCAAAATGACAGAAGATAATAACGGTGTAATTCAGTTGTGGTGGAGAGAACAAATCACAATGTCCTCACGTCTGAGTGCGGAAGACAAACTTGATCTACGGTAATACTTCAGCACCACATGCTAAATTAAAAGTGTAAAAAAAAAAACACTCTACGCCTAATTATTTTAAAATACATGTATGCCACGGATAGCCGCTTCACAAAAAGGTCAAAGAAATTAAAAAGGGAAAAATGAGGCCGTTACTTTTTCACAGATTTCATTGGCAGGTTAACATGGCTCAATACATTTACTGTATATATTTATTTTAAATATATATTGTTTTAAATTGTGTAATAATTATCAGAAAAGCTTCAATCCATCTATCATACACCCACTAGCGATAATATCTAACGTGATTAGTAATCAACACAGAAAGGTGACATGAGAGAGAAGAGGGAGGGTTTTTTTTTTGTTGTTTTGTTTTTGTTTTTTGCTTCTGCTTTAAAAATAGGCTGCTTCTGAGGACAGTGAATTACTATCGTTAAAATAACACGGATGGAGAGCCCATGCGCTAGAAAGCATTTCAGGGAGGAGAAAAACCCTCACGGGAATTGAATCAACAAAGAAGAAATGAGGAGCACTAAGAGAATCCAGGACATTTCCCTTTTCTTTTTGTTTTAAACTGGAAAATCCTAACTCCTTAGAGGAAGATAATGATACTCTGACTCAAGAGAGAAGCTGAAAAAGCACAAGTCACAAAGATCAAGTTCAAAACACTTATGAGAATGGAAAACATTCCTAAGCTTCTCTAACTTTAGAAAACTAGCCAGGGATGATGGGGGAGGGGGTGGGGGCTGCATTCCACAAGGAGGAATTCAGTGCATTTGCAAAATCCTTCTCTGCTAACGACTTAGTATTCTCCTGGCAACTGTCCCAATCAGAAAGACATTGCAGTTACAGGAGCAACTATCTGCTTTTACCCTAAGTTTAAACAATTTGAATACCTCCAACACAATTAGGACACCTAAGTCCAAACTAGAGCCTAAGCAGAATTAAAAACCTTTAAAATCTTGACAACATTTTTGTGGGCCCTGAAGATGGTCAAAAGTGCTAGTTTAGCAACTCCCAAAAGGCCTTGATTTCTATTTTAGCCTCATTTTGCAAATTTCACTTTCATTCTTTTCTCATATACTCCCAGCCAAAAAATGGGAAAGAATGGAACAAAAGAAAAATAGAAAAGGAATCAAACAAAAGCAACAAATAGGAAATAAATGAAATAAAGAAAAGAGAGCATAGATTTGAGAAAGAAAAAAAACTCAATGCAGGAAATTCACCAAAACAGTGTGAATATAAACTGAAGTGATCAAACTCATAAATGATGTGAATTTTTCCAGTTTACATAGTTTGACCAAAAACCACATGGCTTTAGATGATAGCAAACCACCTGATTCTTTCTTTTACATTCATAAGTGATTTTTGCCCACATATCAACCCACTTCAACTGTTAAACAGCAAAGCTTTCAATGAACAATCATCCATTTCAACCAGGATCACACCAGGAAACTGACGGTATATTTTTTTTTGCCTTTTTTTTAAAAAACAAACAAAAAAAAACCCCAAAAAACAAACAAACCAAAACAGATTAACAGCAAAGAGTTCTAAAAAATTTACATTTCTCTTACAAACTGTCATTCAGAAAACAATAGTTTTTAAGTCTGTTAAGTCTTGGCATAAACAGAGAAACTTGATGAATAGTTGTACTTGGAATATTGTGGAATTTTTTTGTCTGACCTCCCCCTATTGTTTGCCAACAGTGATTTAAGTTAGCATGGAACATCCCCGTAGTTGAAGTGTAAACAACGTATAGGAAGGAATATAAGATGATGTATCACATATGCATTACATGTAGGACCTTCACAACTTCATGCACTCAGAAACATGCATGAAGAAGAGGAGGGGACCGCCCAGGATAACCTTCCAGGTGCCTTGAGAACGGAGAATGCAGAAGTGGCACTGTTGATATTTAGCTGAAAGGAAAAAAGGGGAGGAAGAAATAAATTATATTGTTTTATAAACTACCAAATTGTTTTGCCATAGTTGTGACTAGGTTGCAATTTTATAACACAGCTAGCAAATAGATGGAAAACACCATGTGTAAGAGATCTTTGCTTGCAATCATTACAAGAAAAATTGCAAAATGTTAAACGAAGACAATATTAAAATAGGAAAGCAGCATTAATTATCTGGTTGTTCACACAAAGCTAAGCTAAAAATAAAGAGACAGGGACACAGGCTTCAATCACATTATTAAATCTAAATATACATCGTAAGCATTCATACTTGCTAGACAAATTAATAAATGAAAATTATCATTTGGTTGAACTGAAATAGACTCAAAGTTCAAACTCATCCTTAGCTTTTGTCATTATCCTTAGAGTCCTTGGGAAATTCAACCTAGAAGTCAATTTAACAAGGAATACAGCATCAAAAGTAGAGGAAATATGGTTATTCTTATTTAATTGAAGGTCTCCTATCTTTAAAGCAACAGCTAGAGGCAGTTTTTTTTTTTTTTTCTTAAAAGCTCTGCTAAGTTTTAGTGCTTTGAATGGGGCAGATATTCACATAAGCACTGCACATATCTGGACGCTTCTAACCCAAGTGTAAGAAACAAATCATTAAAACAACACAGGCATGAAGTTAATTACAGTCAATTTTCAATTATCCTCTGGAATACCCACTTTGTGAATTTTAAATTTCAGCTTGACTTCCTCCTGTGGCCTGTGCTTGTGGCCAAGTACTATTATACTCAGTCATGCACAGCAAATTAATTTACATATTCACCTTAGCCAGAGGCTTGTAGGAATTGCAACCTCTTAAAAAACAGTAAGATACAAGAGAAACGTAAGTCCATGAGGTATGGATAATTGAGAGTTGTCCGAATCGACCCAAATATAATTTACTTTTGATGTGAGAACACCAAGATTCTAAAATGACACAATCCATATGTTAAAAAAAAGTTCTTCTGGCCAGGCGCGGTGGCTCAAGCCTGTAATCCTAGCACTCTGGGAGGCCGAGGCGGGCGGATTGCTCGAGGTCAGGAGTTCGAAACCAGCCTGAGCAAGAGCAAGACCCTGTCTCTACTATAAACAGAAAGAAATTAATTGGCCAACTAATATATATAGAAAAAATTAGCCGGGCATGGTGGCGCATGCCTGTAGTCCCAGCTACTCGGGAGGCTGAGGCAGGAGGATTGCTTGAGCCCAGGAGTTTGAGGTTGCTGTGAGCTAGGCTGATACCATGGCACTCACTCTAGCCTGGGCAACAAGCGAGACTCTGTCTCAAAACAAAACAAAACAAAAAAAAGTTCTTCTTTCAAAGTTCCACCTTTAAAATAAGGGCTATGCTACAGAACGGGGCTGAATGGCAGACTCAAGAATTCATGCAAAATTCCGATGCGTTTTCAAAGACTTTGTATGTTTCTCATTGACTAGAATGCAAGAGGAAAGATCCTCCAACGTCAGAAAACCAGCCATGCAGCGTTGCAGTTGTCAGCTCCGGTCACAGAGTGTCACCGGGCAGGATGTTACTTACAAGACCATATGGGAATGGTTTTCAGGCCTTAGATGTTTTGCCACAAAGAGGTGCCTCCTGAGAAGTTTTCTTTCCCATTTGGAATACAGGGTGGCCTATTAAGAGAAGCCCCATTTAAGCCACCTGGCATAAAATGAAGTTGTCTTAAGTAGGCTCTAGCCCATCCATGCTTCAGGGGACTGCAGAGAAACCTCACCCTCTGCTGCTACAGTCTGACTCTAATCTCTTCTCTAGTCCCTGGCAATTTGTGCCTGACTTCTTTGGGATACAAAACAAACACACACACAAAAACCAATGTCTTCATTATTTTCATACTCCTTTTGTGTCTTTCTCTTAATTACATAGCTATTGTTTTTGGAATGAATTCCAATCTATTTTTTGTTTGTCTGTTTTGGTTTGTCTTGTGTTCTTACTGACCTACTTTTTCCAGAGGCGACAGTGCCACATAATTATTAGGGCTATAGGGGCGGCCTTTGAAAACCACCGCGGTATGTTATCAAACTAAGAAATTAACATGGATCCTCCGGAGTGAGGTGAATGGCTGTCTGTATGAACTTGAGTCCTCATTCCACAGCCAGATGTTGACAGGGATCCTGGGGAGAGAGCGTGGGAGGAGATCTGCAGTGGGCCACACTTCACTAACTCAGTCTAAACCTCCCTCTCAGTTTCTTCTCACCCCACTTGACTGATGCAACCAATTTGCCACTATTTCCCTTTACTGTAGTTGGAGCCAGCCTCCCTCACCCAGAATGTTCCATCACGTTAAACCAACATCCTGATACCGTACTTGTCTTCATGGTTCTCCTTTGGCTTGGACCATCTTCTCTGTGTTTTTTCTTCTATCTTTCTATGTCTCCAAATTCCACTCGTTATTTAAGACTTTGCCTAAAAATTCTATTTTATGCATACTTCCAAACTCTTATAAACATTGCACTCTACTCTGAGGTCGATTATAAATTTTATTACATAGTTTTATTTTTCCTTTGGAATCAATAATTAGCTGCTTTCTAAACTAGAATATATATTCCTTGGAAGTACTGTCTTTTTCCTCACATTGAATCCTTTTTTTTTTCTTTTTTCTTTCTTTTTCTTTTTTCGAGTAATTATTCCTTCACTACCAATGGTATTGAATCTTGTGCAGGTTAAGCACTAGGACATGGGCAGTAAATATCAGTCTAATACTGAGTGTGAGAGCAAGCACAGCATCTCAGGTAGAGTGGGGAGGTGAGAAAGACACTGTAACACATGATGTTTGCTTTTAAATGCTGTCTTTGATAAATTTTTCCTAATATCTATGGGAAACCTATGAAATGAAGTTCCTGATGATATGTTGGCCATCGTAGAAACGCCTCCCTGTGCTTTCTTCCTGCATCCCTTTCCTCTGCCAATTGTGAAAATGAAGTAACACGTATTTTGTCTGATTACATGACTCCCCTGAATTTAAACCTGCGAGGAGGAATCACCTTGATAAGGCAGGGTCTGGTTCTAAAGCTCTCTCAAACTAAAACCATCGTCTACTGCTCCGAGGCAGGTTTCAACCCACCCACGGCTGGTCTGGTTGATCTTCCCAGAGATTTGCAGACTTTTCCCACAAAGGCATTTATTTCCATCAATGTAACCGGCCGTTGGCATTACGAAACATACGCCATGCTACTGACAGCGGGACAAGTAGAAGGAGCTGACCATGGGCATGTTAGCAAAGAAGCTGACAGCCTGGGCATATTTACTTGATGGGTACGGTCGGTGACCCCGAGCGATGAAAGTGAACGTTCTGCCACTTCCCGTCCCGGCGGTGCCACACGCGGGTCTCCTCGGACTGCATGGTCTTGGGCATCCCGCCGCCGTCCATGTACTGCGTGAGCCGGATGTACGCTATGCAGGCGGCGTCCTCGCCCACCAGGTGCACGTGGGGGTTCAGGATGATAGTGTGGATCGGTTTATTGCTTTTGGACAAAGCTGAAAGAGGACACGGAAAGCAAAATTTAGTTTCTGTGTCAACTGAAACCAGGAATAACCTCCACTGGGCCCAATGAATGGAATGCCATCCGTTCACTCATTAAGTGAATAATTAATCAATCGACTAACTATTTGCACTCATCGAATGCTGTAAGAGAAAAAGCAAAAGGAGAGACGGTCTTTATTTTCTTTGATTCCCTTTATGGGCAATTGGTATGCTACTCTAGAAATTTTGATTGACTGGGGGGGGGGGCAAGCTGGAGAGATGTATTTATTTATAATAGGAAGTAGGTAGAAACCGAAGCTGTAAGATGAACAGAGGTGGGACAAGCCTGGGCCAGGGGCACCAAGTGGCTCTGGTCTTCAAAGAGGGAACCGCTGGGGGGGGGTTGGCAGGAGACCTTGTGTTGGTGTCTGTGTTTGCTAGTTGGTGAAGTCCATGGGGCAAGCGAAATATATTAAGTATCAAGCACAGAGATCACTGTCTCAAAAAAAAGGCTGGTGGCAGCATGAATTGGTTTCTGCCTCTCATCCTGCGACTGTTCCACGTATAGCAGAGACCATTCCATGACAGTTCGGTTGTGATCATCTGGTAAAAACTTCAAATTTGGTGTAGGGCACAGAGCCTGGTTCTGGCCCTCAGCTCTTTCCTTGGACTGAGCAGCCCTCACGAGGCTCCAGCCTCTGGTGTCTGGGCAGTAGCGACCCATTCTCATCATTCAACACCGAGAGGTAAGTGTTTTATTAGAGATGGGATGGTGTTGGCTGAGAGTGAGTTGGAGGAAACATGAAATGCTCTCTTGAAGCTTTGTTAAAGTGAATTTATTAAATACTTCCTTTTGATTATTTGTTTGTAAGTGCCTAGTGCATATAAGAAAAAGTAATTCATTCGATACATCTTAACTCCATGCCAAGCCAGACATTCTGAACAATGCTTATAATTACTGAAAGTGAGCTTGGTGATCCTAATCATTAGCACAATTTCTCCTTAATTCAACAAGATCTCTCTGCAAAAACAGTGAATTCACTTTATGCAACATGGACACAACATAACGTGTAATGTTATTAGATGTAAGGAAAAGGAACAGGCTAAAGGGAATTCCTGGTTTATGCTTTTCTCATGCCCTGAAAGATTTCTGCAGGAGGGACTCTTTTGTCACCTTCTCTGCAATGTGACTGTTTCCTCTGAGATCACTAACATTCTTGCAATTTGATTTGAAATATTTATCTGATTACTCATATTCACTTACATTTGACTTTGTAAACAACCACCAAATACACCCAAAAGCACTCTTCTATGTTGACTATTCCGGCATGCTGTGGTTCCTTTTATTTTTGCAGATATAAATAGTTTTAGGAAAACGTGAAATAATGTTTTTTGGTAACTCATTTTATAGTTTATATTATACATTCACTGGGACATATGTGGGGTGTATTCAATCAACATTACTTTTTCTACTGAGTCAGGTATTTTTAAAAACACACTAACATTTTTAAGTCTATCATTTTTTATTTTCAATTTTAAATACAAAAAAATCATATGGTATAAAACGTTGGACAGAGGTAAAAATTCTCATTATAGAAGAGAGCCAAAGACTCTGAAAGTTGGGGGAAAATTCAAAGAGAAGTTGGAAAAGGTATGTTATTACATTAAGAATAAATGTACCGTTTTCAAAGTAGAATCGGTGAAAGTCCATCCCTTCCACTAAATTACCCAAAGCTTCAGGTTCAAAAGCAGTAAGGCCTGGGTCACAGATTTTTCTGTAGGAAGAAGAGAAATGAAAATAACCAATAAATAAATGCTTTAATATATTTTGTTGTTTCTTGTGTAAACATTTTTATTTATCAGTCAATGAAGGAAAAGAGCCTCTAAAAAAACCATTAAACCAAAAAACATGAAATCAAAAAAACCATTGAACCAAAAAACATGAAATTTCTATCTTAGACCTTGGCAAGGTGGGCTGAGGAGTAGACTCTAAAAAGGCATTTTGCAGAGAACACTGATAGGACAAACTAATTTAACCAGTTCAAGCAGATGATAATCTACAATATTTTAGGAATCCCCTTTTTAAAATTTCTACTTTTTTATTTCCAAAGTGAACTCTCCAGTTTTCCCCAGTTTTTCTAACTCTTGATGGAGGTTTATTACTTTTTAAAAATGTTCTCCAAGTCCTACAATCCAAGTCTAAGACACTCTCCAAATCTGCTAAAACCATTTTTGGTTCTGAAATGAAATGTTTTTGGAATAATTTTTGATGTGCCACACCTTCTATGTGCACGTCAAACATCTCTATTCTAATTAAGCTGAAGAAAGGTATCACATCCTATACTTTCTGCCAATGGCCACAATCATTAAGCTGGCTTTAATTTTAAAATAAAATGAACAGAAGGTTCGACTGCGCATACAAATTTTCTTCTTAATCCTAAAAGAGTCCACAAAGGAGTGCACAATTTCAAAAATTCGGAGAAATCCAGTGGGCTTTTTTTGGAGAAATTTATTCAGTAAAGAATTGTTAAACACCTACGCTGTAGCAGATATTCTTCACAACAAGCGATTATAGCACAATCATTAATACTAGAATAGAAGGAAATGCATAGTGCTTGAAAAATTAGATTACTGATAGGTAGGAGACAGGAAAGATTTAAGAGGGAAGGAAAATTTGAGCTGAGCTGGTAAGAATGAGTCAGAGTTTCCCAGAGGTGTGGCAGGCGTTGGTTGGGCAGGAGGAGGGTGGCAAGTTGATGGTTTAACTATACACACCTGGGTAAGTGTGGAGTATGCTTGTACAGTGTGGTTAGTTGTGCCACACGGCGAGCACCGGGTCACTGGGCTAGGTGTTAAGGCCCCTGGAAATGAGGAAGTATTTCCTTTGGCCTGTCATGATTAGGTTAGGCTTCTCAGAGAAGGTGACAAAATCTGGATTTGAAGAACTAGTGGGAGGTCAGAGGTAGATAAAAGGAATATAACATCAAAGGATTGTGGACTGTATATTAATTTGCCTCAAGAGATGACACAGTAAATGGGGCCACATCTAATTTCATATGGAAATTCCACATTTGAGAGGCAAAATTTCCTACCTGTTCAACAGAAATACAAATCTCAAGAGTCTGACTCACTGTGGTTCTTCAAAGTACAGTACAGTTCATAGAATGTGCAATTGGTGTTTTTTAAAGAATACTTTTAAAGTAGAAATCGCAGCGGTTGTCTTTTGTGGTAAAGAAAGGCTTGAAGGCGGGATACAGGTCGGGATTATCAACTTCCCCTCGGACTGGCTGCTGGGCAGGTATTTTTAAGCTTAAAGTCAAATATATATAATCTCTTTCTAAGGAGCACAATAGGAAGAACAGTGTTCCTATGGCAACAGGAATTTATTCTGCCAGGGGCTATTATTTCCTCTATAAACATGTTTTTTTGGTTGTCAATATCTGGAAACCAAAATTTCTTATTAGCTTACATCAGCACCAACGTCATTTGAGAATTACTGTGCTATAATGGATTTTATTACCCAGCTATAAAAAGAGTCAATATATTTTAAAGTCTGTTCATCTATTCTTTCTTTCACTATCTTTCCTTCCTTCCTTCCTATCTAGCCATCTGGCTATCTCTCTCCTCTAACACGCTTCGGATTAAGAAAAGATTCACAAAGCTGCCCCTTGACCTCTGGGTGTGTGTGTTCTGAACACGTGTTCTAAGAACTGGCTGACAGAGCTACACCAGGACCTCCTACCATCCAAAAAACTCCCAGATGGAAGTCCTGGTGGATTATCTTTGGGCCTGAAAGTACAAAATCAGGCCAGATTATAGGCCTCCAACAGCAAAAAAATTAAGGAACTGATGTGATCCTAAGGTCTTTCATCATTAAAAATATCCTACTTTAAACTGTGTGAGAATATGAGAAAGACGCCATTTTGCCTGCCTACAATTGCTCCCTGTCCCTGAACCAAAATCAACAATAAAACACAACTTTTTACCATTCCACTGGGGAATTCTATTACAAAAGATATTTTAGAAAGAATATTCTTATTCTTTGGAGAATCATATGACTAACGAAATTATAATAGCAAAAAGAATAAAAAAGAACAGCTTGTATGACACAGAGTTATAAGCAATTGTTTAATAGGAAACTGCTTTCTCTGACAACAAAGAGTGTTCTTTTAAACTCCATTTTTTATGATTTCTTTTGTTCCAAGTATACTTTATTAGGTCAGGTTAAAGAATTGATATATAACTGGGCACAGTGGCTCATGCCTGTGATCCTAGCACTCTGGGAGGCCGAGGCAGGGGGATTGCTTGAGCTCAGGAGTTCGAGACCAGCCTGAGCAAGAATGAGAGGCCATTTCTACTAAAAATAGAAAAATTAGCCAGGAGTCGTGGTGGGTGCCTGTACTCCCAGCTACTGGGGAGGCTGAGGCAGGAGGATCCCTTGAGCCCAGGAGCTTGAGGTTGCAGTGAGCTATGATTATGCCACTGCACTGTAGCCCAGGGGACAGAGTGAGACTCTGTCTCAAAAAAAAAAAAAAAAATTAGCTTCTGGATTTAGTTTAATTCTAGTTATTCTCTTCCATATTTTATATTTGGACATTTATTTATAACTAATGATAAAAGTAATATCTGATCATAAAAAATTTGGAAAGAATAAGATGTACGAAAACATTCATACATAATTTTACCTCTTGAGGCAACCTCTTTATTTTTTAAATCAATTTTAGTATATTTCATTCCACGTTTAATGCTTTTTTCTTATGTAGTTGGCATAATTACGTACATAATCTTTTATATTGTGCGTAATTTTCAGCAAAAACATCATACATTGTAGAAATTCTACATAACCACTGTACTAAAGGCATCAAAGACCCCTTAATGATTACCATAAATTTGGACATATGTTTCCAATTTTTGACTATTATAAACATTGCTTCAGCATATATCTTTGTTCACAAATTTTTGTTCATGTTTTAGATTGAAAATTCATGGCCACATTAAATTCTTATTTTTATTCAGGTTTTCTTATCTGCATTCAGGTTTTTTTTATTTTTTATTTTTTTGAGACAGAGTCTCACTCTGTGGCCCGAGCTAGAGTGCCATGGCATCAGCCTAGCTCACAGCAACCTCAAACTCCTGGGCTCAAGCAATCCTTCTGCCTCAGCCTACCAAGTAGCTGGGACTACAGGCATGTGCCACCATGCCTGGCTAATTTTTTCTGTATATTTTTAGTTGGCCAATTAATTTCTTTCTATTTTTTAGTAGAGATGAGGTCTCACTCTTGCTCAGGCTGGTTTTGAACTCTTGACCTTGAGCAATCTGCCCACCTCGGCCTCCCAGAGTGCTAGGATTACAGACGTGAGCCACTGCGCCCAGCCTTTATTCAGGTTTTTAATCAAGAAATCTAAGGCTGCCAATCAGAGTTTCTAATTACCATGAAATGACCAGGTTAACAACTTTGAGTTCATATAATATGAGGTCATATAATGTGATCTTTTAAAAGCTTTGCTTAACCTACACATTCGAAGTTAGCAGAGTTTATAGCCCAGCTGGCCTTACAGATAAAAAAATGCCCTTACATTCAAATTTGCATAAACTTAATCAGTAAACATTACCATGCTTCTATTAGTTTAATTGTCATTTATATTTCCTCTTCTGCTAATAGTCAGTTCATGTCCTTTACTTGTTTTTCTACTGTTCAATCTTATCTACTCAATATAAAAAATTAACTTTGGATACATGTCTTATAAATATTTTTCTAAGCTTGTCTCAGTTTTATTTTTGGATTTTAAATTAAAGCAGTATACAGGTTTTATCTACTTAGGTAGAAAAATCATTTTATTTTATTCATTTATGATTACTTCTTTTGCTTTTAAACACAGAAAGATCAACTGGGTGTGGTGTCTCACACTTGTAATTCTAGTACATTGGGAGGCTGAGGCAAGAGAGTTTGAGACTGATCTGAGCAACACAGTGTGACCCACATCTCCGCAAATAATAGAATAATTAGCCAGGTGTGCTTGTAGTCCCAGCTACTTGGGAGGCTGAGGCAGGAGGATCACTTGAACTCAGGAGTCTGAGGTTACAGTGAGCTGTGATGATGCCACTGCACTCTAGCCTGGACAACACAGTGACAGTTTGTCGCAAAAAAATAAAAATAAAATAAAAAATAATAAAATAAACTTAAAAATATCTTTATAACTAGAGATCAGATTCAATCTCTTTTTGGATTTAACTCTTTCACTTAAGTGGAACTCATTTAATTGTATAGTGAAAGAAAAGACTTAGATGGATTTTTTACCCCCAAACAGCTAACTTATCGACCCATATATTTTATGCAATAAGATATCATGTCCTTTTTAAACTGAATGCTTTATTTTTACTTGAGCAAAAGAATTTCCTTTATATTTCCTATGATCCAGTCATGTATAAACTTTAAATTAAGCACGAGAAGCACTTCTTCAAATAAAATTTTCCTTAAGTGACAAACACACAAAATAGATGCAGATAAAGTTGAGCTGTGTTGGTTGAAGGAAGAAGGAATTGTCTGATGTCGTCTCATCTCTTTCTGTATCCCAGCACCCTGCAGAACCGTGAAGGAAAACATTTCTTAAAGCAAAGGCACATTTTATGTGCTTTCCTGCTTTTTGTGTTTTTGTTCACATGGATTGCTCTTCCTGGAATGCCCTCCTCTCATCTAGATTTTGCTGGCCTTCCACCTCTGCACACCTACAAAGAAATCTCCAATCCTTGGATCCAAAGTCAGGTCTTCTCTCTCTGAAATCTTAAATATATTCGTTTTTTTCCTGAAGATTAGTCATTTATAGCTTGAAATAAAACTATTGTTGACATGTCAAAGCTGGGGTTAAATATACACGAATTCAGGTACAATTAAGAATGCATTCATATAGAAAATAACAGCTGCCTTATGCATGAAAGCAAAATAAATGTCCCCTACTCACGTGTAAGCTTCAAAGTCCCCATTGTTGATAGCTTCAATCAGTTGTTCAGTGACTTTGATAATCTCCTGCTTTCGTGCTAAAGGCAAAGATACAGAGTTGGGTGAGAACAAAAGACAAAGGCCATATAAGATATTATTCTACTAACACTGCCATTTCCCTTAAACAGGGTATTAATATTTAAGACACGTCCCTTACAGAAGCAAGTGTCGTGTTACTTTTTCGACAGTCTTGCTGCTCAAAGTGCATAGACCAGAAGCACCCGCCTCTCTGGGAGCTGTTACGATAGATACATGGATTCTCAAGTCTCACTCTTGTCCTACAGATTCAGAACATGCATTTTAACATGACTGCCAAGTGACTCCTGGGTACTGTCACATTTGGGAAGCACTGCCACTTTCTATTTGTTAGAAAACAACAGGCACCTGAAAGGTCAGGGCTATGTTTTTAAAATTAGTTTTTACTACTTTAACTTGATTGAATTTTTAAAATATTTCTTTTCATCATTAACAAATGGAATTAAAAATGATAATCGCAAGAAATATTGCTCTAGCCATATATGTTTATGCTCAGAGTAAAGATCATATCTTGCGTTGAGACACTCAACTTTATATGATTATTTGCATCTTCTTAGCATTCAGCTCAACCAACCCTACAAAATGGGAAGCCGACGCTGTGATTGGCCATCGTATTTAGATGTATGGCCTTTAGTAAACTCTGTCAATCGGAGAGGTGACATATGAATTCATAGTGTAGATGCAGACAGGTAATCAGAAGGAACAGCTGTCAAATGCAACACCAATCACAATTTGTTTCTATTCCTAGCCCACAACTGCTAAAAATAGAAATAGTTTGGCTCAAATGTCTTCTACTCAGTACATTTGTTTCTAATTACATCTGCCCCAAGTGTTCTTTCTCTTTTTGGAATGCCTGCAGGGTCTTGTGTCATTCATTTGGCGATTATGCATATGCTATACCTTGACACCTTCTCTGGTTAACTCACTTTATTACTTGTCTTAAATTATTCTTAAATTTTGTATACTGGTGTATGTGTGTACGTCTTCCTCGTTAACTTACAACTTCCCGGAGAGCACAGAACATGTTGGTTTTTTTGTATCCCTTAAAAAGTTTTGCTCAGCAGGGAATGGCTCACGCCTGTAATCCTAGCACTCTGGGAGGCTGAGGTGGGAGGATCACTCAACGTCAGGAGTTCGAAACCAGCCTGAGCAAGAGTGAGACCCCTGTCCTTAATATAAATAGAGAGAAATTAATTGGCCAACTAAAAAATGTATACATAAACAATTAGCCGGGCATGGTGGTGCATGCCTGTCGTCCCAGCTACTCGGGAGGCTGAGGCAGGAGGATCGCTTGAGCCCAGGAGTCTGAGGTTGCTATGAGCTAGGCTGATGCCACGGCACTCTAGCTGGGGCAACAAGGGTGAGACTCTGTCTCAAAAAAAAAAAAAAAAGTTTTGCTCAATGTCTTTTATAACTGCAGTCCCCAACCCTCCCCTGACCCCGCTGCACATTAGGCTCCGGTCACTGGCATCACCACCCGGGCCCGCCCCACGTCAGATCAGCTCGGGCATCAGACCCTCACAGGAGCGCGAACCCTGCTGCCAACTGCACGCAAGGGACCCAGGTTGCATTCCCCATGAGAATACAACAGCTGACCAGGGTCGTGGACAAACTGTTTTCCACGAAGCCAGTCTCTGGTGTCAAAGAGGTTGGGGACTGCTGTTTTATAAAACACATCATCAGCCAGGAGTGGTGGCTCACGCCTGTAATCCTAACACTCAGGGAGGGCCAGGCAGGAGGATCACTTGAGCTCAGGAGTTTGAGACCAGCCTGAGTAAGGGTGAGAGGCCGTCTCTACTAAAAATAGAAAAATTAGCCCTGCGTGGTGGTGTGAGGAGGGAGGATCACTTGAACCCAGGAGTTCAAGGTTGCAGTCAGGTATGATGAGGCCGCTGCACGATAGCCAGGTGACAGAACAAGATCCTGTCTCAAAACAAATAAACAAAAAACTCAAAGTTTGTAGATTTGATCAATTGAAACTAGTAATACTATCTTGATTTCAGAACATTGTTCTCTTCCTTATGAAATCACTGCATGAAATATTTAAAAAATTAAATTTTGCTGGATTTTGTTTTAAGAATATTGTCCCTTAAAAGAAAGAGACTGTAGGATCGCAAAAAGTTACTTCCAATCTATCATAATGGGGCAGTGAGGCGGCTGTTCATCATGGAAAAAGCTGACCCTGGATTTTGTTCTTTATTGATTAAAGGATATGCCAGTTTGCATATTTTATGAATCTGATCTTCATTAAGCAGATTTTAACCACAAATGTAAATGCTTACATTCACTTTCAAACTCCAAGTTATTCAAGTTATGATATTCTTTATTTAAAAATAAATGTTCTCCAAACCTATTTTTACTTTATTGAGACTATATGAGACTATCTCATAACAAATACAAATAATAGACTATCTTATAAAATGAGATTAAATTTGCCCATAAGATGGTTTCGAACAATGTCAAGATCTGTAATATAACAAAATCACCCTATGGGTTAGAATTCATATTTAGTTACATAATTACCTTTCATGTATGTAAAAATAACATGACATGGGATTTCCTAGCTTCTACATACATCTAAAACATTTCTTGCCTTCGTTCATTTGATTGATAAATACCAATGATCCATGTGACATCAAAACATGCTGACAGAAGTGGTGGCAGGGAGTAATTATGTAACAGGGATATTGCCGGTGACACATTTTAGCTTAATTTAGTTAGGCAATAGGTGATTCATCTGTCTGTGGTCTCAACAGTGTGAACATTTGGCAAACGCTCATGACAGCTGACCCGAGTCTGGAATACAAAGGACATTGGTGAGGAACTCAGAAAATGAGATTAAGAAAATGTGGCTACCAACACTTGCCCTCATACGAAATCTTCATTGAACGCTAACAGATGTTTTAGTATGATATAGGGCTGATAGGGAAAACTACAGTTTAGAAAACATTGTCAATTTTTACAAACTAACAAAAAGAAGGAAAAAACCCTACATAAGATTAGTGCCATTTGTGGAGCTTCACTAGGCTAAGACTTCGGTCATAGAGTGTGAAAAGTTCAGCATCGCTTCCTGAAGTTTCTGAACAGTTTGTATTCCCTCGTAAGCATAATATGGAAGTAGAAACATCATGTGTATCACTATATGGCCATCTCTTACTCTCTGAACCGCTATGGAAACATACATTAGCTCTGTGGTCCCCAACCCCAGGGCCACGGACTGGTACCGGTTTGTGGCCTGTTGGGAAGTGGGTGGCACAGCGGGAGGTGAGCGGAGAGCCAGTGAGCAAAGCTTCGTCTGTATTTACAGCCGCTCCTCATGACTCTCATCACAGCAAAAGCCCTGTCTCCCATCAGACCCGTGGTGGCATTAGATTCTCATAGGAGCGCAAACCCTACTATAAACTGCGCATGCCAGGATCTAGGTTGTGGCTGCTTGTGAGAATCTAATGCCTGACGATCCGAGGTGGAGCAGCGCTGGGGAGCGGCTGCAAATACAGACCATCAATCATTAGCAGAGAGGTCTGACTGCACAGTAAATGTAATGCACCTGAATCGTCCCCAAACCATCCCTCGCCCTCTAGACAGTGGAAATATTGGTCAATTTCATGGTCAGTTTCTTCCATGAAACTGGTCCCTGGTGCCAAAAAAGGTTGGGGACCATTGCATTATCTCTTCAATATTTTGCATGCCACATCTGCCTTAAGTTTTGTCCTGCATAATCAAAGCAGCACAAATTGCCTTCTCTTTTAGCTCTTGTGCTTAGAAACGGTGGAGCCTTAGCTGGCAGGACAGCAAATGGGTATTAGCCAGGATGCTTGTGTGCTGCATCATCAGGAAGGCAACGTGACTCCCAGGGCTTGGGAGGGGCCCAGAACGCAGGAATCTTTAGAGCGCTTATTTCCCCGGGGCAAAGGTGCTTGAGTGAGTCACAGGTGGCACATGACAGCTGACTCTTTAAAGGAAAGCAGAAGGCTGGAAATGAATCATTTGTATATAGTAGTCAGCTTGCGGTTGGAACTGTTGCCACAAGCCCAGCATCTGGCCTAGAGCAAGAGTGAGGGTTTGGTGCTAGCGAGCTCCACTCTCAACAGCAGTGAGGCCACGGACAGCCACTGGGCCAGGCGCTTGGAAGGACAAATTCTTTGGGGAAGGTCCACTCTCATCTGGCCTCCCCTCTTCCTGAATAACAAGTAATGACCACTTCAAAAGTCAGTGTGGGGAGAGTTGGCGATGTGTCGCTCAATACACCAAGATAAGAAGACAGGGTACCAGTAAGGTATTTCCTGAATACCAGAAGCTTCTTCCACTCCATAGCTGGCCATTTAATCACAGGAAGCTGATTGTCTAGTAGGTTTATTTCTAGAATTAAAGTGCTCCAACCTACACTCCCAGGTCACAAAGCAGTTTCTGGGGATTTCTAAATTCTTAGGGAAAACAGAGGAGAGAAAAGCAAGTGGGAGTGTGACATTCCAGGCTCTGAGTGTAATTACTTTCCACACAACTAGGCAAAAGAATTGGGAACATTTTCACATTCAAATTCATTTACTTTTGACTCAGTTATTGTTCTAAAGAAGCCTGGGAGAGTAAGATAAGGGGCGAATGGTCCCAGTGTTTGAATAACAAGCCCGACCCAAGAATTGGGAGTAATTATGTAATAAAACAACTTACAGATTTCAACATTTCCTCAAACATTATCCGATTTGATTATCACAATACTCTGAGATAAGCAGACAGGCACTCTCTCTTTGTTGAACAGAGAAGGACAGAAATTACAGGCATTGCTCGGTGTGTGGGGTTGGCTGATTCTCCTGCTACCCACTTGGAACTCTCTTCCTTTCCCTTAACTCTTTTGTTTCTCTTACCACTTGTCTGATCACGTGTTCTCATTCTCATTTGCCACGGTATCTTCCTCTACCCGGAATTTAAATGGTTCAATTCCTTTTAAAGTCTCAATGTGAGGTCCTACTCTCACCTCACACTGTATCCCTATGGTCCTGTCTGT